GTCACTATTCATCTATTGGTTGAACGATGCACTATTCTCTCTCTATAATTGAAAGTGAAAGATCGAAAGGTACACTATTTTGTGTATCGTGTAAATCTCTTTCGCATATATATTGTTTGTGTATTGTGTAAATCTCTGCAATTGAATGTGAAAGGATTGAAAGAAGAGCGCAAGCAGAGACAGAGCTTGAGAGAAAAAGAAAATGATGTAGAAACCAAATCTGAAGAAAGACTCGGAAAATTCAAAGATAACGATGAACAAAAGGAGAGAGATGAATAGCCGGAAAATTTTCATCAGAAAATATTGATGGCAAACCTGTTAGAAGTGAAGAACAAACTAAGAAAACTAATGAATATAGGATTTTCAAAGTTGGAGTTTTTTTCTTTGGGAAGAGGAGGGGGAATTGCCTAGTAAAGAGGAGAAGTTTCAACCATTGTCAGAAACTTTAGGGGAGGTTACCTAAGAATCTTGATCTCCATCAAATAAAATACATTTCAACACCCTACCAACAAATTTCGATATCACAAATCTCATATATCACCGGGTCCCACTTTTATGGTAGATTCTAGTCTCATTGTGAGATGTGTAATGTTAGGTTGTCTTGGTAATTAAGATATTGGAACATGTTTTATTGGTTTCCATACCCCATTACCTAGGAATGGCTACAGGGTGAGGATTATATTCTCCGTCATCGACCCTAATTTTAAAATAGATCCCCATCTCCAACCCCAATCCCCATTGGGAATAAAAGCTATCCTCCACCCTCGATCCCCAATGGAGATAGATTCCTTGCAGGGACTCAAATCCTCAATTTTTTTTAATTAATAGTATTTTTTGAAAAATAAATTTATTTAAAATAAAAAAATAAAATATAAATAATATTTTAAATATATTTCAATATATAATATAAATAATACAAACAATATTTAATACGAATGGTATTTAATATGTATAATCAAGATTAGGGTGAAGACTTCATTCCCCATCCCTTTCCTTGTCCCGCCCCGTCAAAGCAATCCCCATCCCCATTGGGTTGGGGAGGGCAGATACCTAGAATGGGAAAATTGCCATCACTACCTGCTACCCATATGGACTTTTGGTCTCAAGTCACATCTTACAACCACTAGAAGAAAAAGGGGTACCAACTAAGGGCTGGCTCATTGGTGTGTTAGCTGGTTTGTGACGTGGAAGTTGGAATTGCAACCAACACTTTGGGGAAATAGGGGAAATTATTAATGGTGCATGGCACCAAATACACTTTTGCTTGTGTTTGGCAACATTACATTTATGTATTGACAAATGACAAAAAACACATTTTCCAATGCATATTTACATTGATAATAAGATGTAAAAGTATATCAATAAAAAAGAAGTAAATTTGCATTCAAGTGGGCTTTTGATAAAAAAAAGGCATATGCTTTATTGGAATTTGTGTTTGCATAATTGCATCCATTACAACTAAAAGTCTATTTGGTAAGAAGGTAAATTTGTCAGCGCAAAACTAACCCAACTTTACAATTTATATGAACCGTTTTACACTCTATGTATTTGCATTCACACTTATTTGCATCGTTTCCAAACGCAGCCTTAGGTACAATCTACATCAACCGATTTTGGGAGGTTGCCAGGTGACATTCTTCTCCTTGAATAGGCTTGTCAATCAGTATGCTTACCTGCAAGTAGGGGTGTTAATTGGATTGGATTTGGTCCAATCCGATCCAAGGTAATATGAATCCATTAGAAATGCATTAGGTTCAATAATCCAATAAATATTCTAGACATTTTGAATCAGTCCAATCCAATGTCTAAACCATCTAATTTATTGAATTTGGTTTTAATTTAGATTGGTTCCAAGTCAAATTTGGTCCATTAACACCAATTTCTTATCTTTTATCAATAGACCTGACATTAACTCAATCCGACCCAATCTAATATAAATCCATTATAGATGAATCAGGTTCAATCCAATCTAATAAATACTTTGGACCATTAATCTGGACTGGTGCAGTTCAATGTCTTATTGGTCTGCCCAATCCACCCAAACTGATTTTGATTTGGATTCTCTAACCCAGAATCCGTTCATCCATCAATTAACAGATTGTGAGAACTAGATATACACATGGTTTCAGCTAATTACCTCGGATTGCTTTGAGTTAAAATCATAATATGGTTTCAGCTGAATATGAAATACTGAAGATGTAGCAGCTGAATAAGAAATGGCTGAGCCTGAAAACCATGACTTGGGCCTCTTGATTCTTAACTGTAGAAATCAAAATTTAAAATGTTCTACTATTTCTTGTGTGCTATCTCTTGTGAAGCCTCTTCCAAGTGCTGGTTTAAAGCTTTTATGGATCATATAGACCCACAATATTTAAATGGATTGGATTCAAAAGTATAAGAGTATGATCTAAAATCCCATAATATCAGAATCTCTATTTGGGTTTTGTATGCTTTAAGTGACACTAGTTGAGTAGCATGGGCAGATGAAAAGGCCATTATCCATTGTTGGTCCCAACTATCTAAGGTCTTAGGAGGGATAGATTGATCGGAAACTAATAAAATTAGCTTCATATATATTTGGACATGAAGACCAAGCAATTGTTGGCATTATACAGTAAGGATAACATCAAATCGACCATTAAAATTAGTTTCACGCCTTTATAGCTCAATCAACACACACACAGATATATAGATATATATATATATATATATATTTGGACATGAAGACAAAGCAAGTATTAGCATTATACAGTAAGGATAACATCAAATCGACCATTAAAGCTGTATTTGGTTTGAAGGAAAAAGTAGTGAAAGGTAGGAAAACCTTTACAAACCTTGTATAAGTTTTCCTACCTTTTCCTTCAAACCAAACATAAAGAAAAACATGCTTTTGAATCTAGCTAAAACATCGCTATTTGGGCACATAATAAAGAAGTGTATCTCTTTCTCTTTGTCTAACATCTTTTAATTTGGTAGTTAGGTTGCGGTATTCAATGAGATCACATTCAGTTTTTTAGTTCAAGCATAAAAAGTAAGCAGAAGCAGATTGACAGAGTAATAGGATTGTTATAAATTTAGATATTAGAAAGAAAAACATGGATGAGGAAAGAGAAGAGCGTTGAAAACTTGAAATATAAGCAAGCTTTCAATTCCAAGTTATTATAATAGAATGGAAAAGTAATAAAGAAAAGCACGGTTTTTAAAACCGGATTGGACATGAAATCATTATTGAGACCGATTCTCATGTGATTGAATAGATGATCTGTTCTGACAAAAATAAAAAAATAAAAATGGTAAAAAATCATTGTCAAATTGACGGTTTGATGATTCAACTGTTCAGGTCAATGATTTACTGACCAAATCAACAATTTTTAGCTAAAAACAATTCTGAGGTAAAACAGAACTGGTCATGTGATTGATTCCTGACAAGTAAAATATGAAGTTCATGCATGGTGCTCCAATCCAATGACGCATATCAACAGAAAATGTCAAAACTACTGTATAGTTGGGTAGATGCATCTACTTATAATCAATGACTCAATGCAAACTACTTTTCTAACAACCCAACTAATAATATTAATATTAATATGCAATGATGTTTGTTTTTGATATATATCCATATATTTTGAATTCTAATATCACATACTTAGAACTCATAGAATTAGAAATTGCTCTAAAAGTCTATCTTCTTGTTGTGGGAAATCTTTTCAAACAGCTTCCATGGGATTTAAAAAGGTAATGAGAATGTACGGTTGGTCTGAATCAGTAACTTTGTTTTGATAGAAAACAAAGAGAGAAAAGGAAAGTTGTGAAGGAAAATTCTAAAAGACTTCCACAACATCAGAATATACTGATCAAGATATTACCCTCAACTTTCTTAGGGTTGCAAATGAACACGGGTCAAATTAAATATAAGGTACATCCGACTTTGATTCGTTTATATCACATTTGAATTGAATCTTATCCGTTGGATTTATATTGGATTCAGATATTGAATAATAGCGTTAACAAAGTAATTAAACTGAAAACTGATCAAAATATTATGTTAATATAATAAACCAAAAATGATTTTGATATTGTATATTATCAACAAAATATATTTTATGAACCTTAGAACATATTAAGGCAATTAGGGCATTTGCTGATGTGTACAAGGTAAAGATAAAAGGATAAATATTTAAATATTAAGCTTATAACATATTATACTTTAATTTAATTTTCATGACCTGACCTGCACTGAAAATTAAGGTATCCGACTTATAATAATATAAATAGAAACGTGCAATTAAATTGAATTGAATTAAATAAAGGCAGATCCACATTTGATTCAAATCATCCTTAATTGAATTAACCTTTCAACTAATCAAACTCAGATGAAGGGATACCATTTGCAGCCTAGCTCAATACGAAAATCTAAGCATGGGTGCTTATTGATATTCTCGATACTCCAAGATTTTCTGTTTTGTTTTTACTTTTTTTTTTTCATTTTAATAGGATTATAGGGATGAAATTAATTATTTCAAAGCTTTAAATATTTTAAAAAGCTTATGTATCAATATTTTAATTAATTCTGTCTCATGCCATATGGAATTAAACCAGGCTTAAAAGAGCCCGTTGGACTGAGTTGCACAGCTAGGACCAAGACTTGTCGCTATATATCGACTTTTGTGAATGGCGGAGAGCAGTTGGAGAGAGGAGATATTCTATAAATCATATAGTCTGAGTTCAGGATTTTGATTCAACGTCATAGAAATAAAACTTGTCCCACCTTAATTGGCATGAATCCTATTACCTAATCCAAACCCTAAACTAACTTTTCTTTTTGTTGCAGTCGTTGTTTAGGGCCCATGAAACGGTTGGTCCTAATTAATACATGCATGAGAGTGGTGGTTGATGGGTGTGTTTCTTTTTCCAAGTTCTTGCTTGGAATCGTCCAGTTAGCTTGAATGATCAGACAAGTTAATATGATTTACCTGGACAAATTAGACGAGATTTACTTAAAAAGTTTTGGTTAACCAAGCATGATAATGATGGGTGAAGTCGGTTGCCTTGATGCATTGACCTTTATGCCTGGTTCTTCGATCTTGCTTTGCAAATTGAAATCTTCTCATAAACAAACAGTGAAACAATCGAAGTTATTTAGTTCCCTTGAATACTGAGGGAGGTTTCTGCTAGTCTCTTTGGTATCCCTGAAGACCAGAAGATAAGTCAGATAAAAATGGTGGAAATGAGTGCAGAATTCATGAGAATATCAGGGTACAATTCCTGTCTCCGCAACTTCCATTGCTCTCCAGGGCCTCTGCTTCTGTTTTCTAATCGATTCATCACCGTCAGAGGTAGTGTTCATCATCAATTCTCTGCCTCTGAATTGTTCGGAGATATTCGTCTCAGTTCGAAGCAATCCAGCCCCCCATCTATGCAGGAACAAAAGAGGAAGAAACTCTCTGTTGTTGCTATGTCTACTAGTAATGGTCAGTCAGTCATCTTACCCTTGTTTCTCCTTTGTCAAATTCATTGAACTCTTTCCATTTATTTACTACTGTTCATCTACAATAACGGTGAATTTTGCATACAACCACATTAGTTTTTGGATTAATTCTACAATTTAGGTAGATGTTTGATTAACTCTTCAAGAAGAAGGAGAACAAGGAGAATATGATCTTCCTCAATGGGTACTTAAAAAGGTAGAAGGAATCAGTCTGAAATATATGGCTTACGTCAAAACTGTGGTTTTAAAAACCAATCCAAAAATAGAACTGCTTTGAACACTTATTCTCAGGTCAGCGGTCTAATGATCTGGTCTAAACCCCATCTAGATGATTCCTTCGTCCAAAATCAGACCCAGATCCATGACCATCCCTTGGTCAACCAATCCGACCATCCAATCTGGTCTGGTTTTCAAAATCATGGCCAAAATCTGCATGAATACACGAACTTTAGATATGTTTGGATTTAGGGGTGTCAATTGGGTTGGATTTGGTCCGATTTAATCCAATCCAATGTGAGTCCATTACAAATGGATCAGGTCTAATCCAATCCAATGAACATTTTGGAGTGGTCCAGTTCAATGTCTGGACTGTCCAATCTGTTTAAATTTATTTTAATATAGATTTTTTTTTTTAATTCTAACCCAAGCCTGACCCATTGACACCTATATTTTTGTCTTCTACCAATGGACTAGATATTGGCTCAATCCAACCAATCTAATGTAAATTCATTATGGATGGACCATGTCCAATCCAATCCAATAAATACTTTGGACCATTAAGTCTGAACTAGTCCAATTCAATGTGTCTTATTGATCTGTCTAATCCATCTAAATTAATTTTGGTTTGAATAGAGTCTAATCCAAAACTGGTCTATTATCACCCATATTTTAAATAAACAATACAACATTACATCAACAGTTCTTTTCTTACAGAAAGGGTAACAGTGAAATTAAAAACCGCACTACAGCTGAAACAATTCATCGAACGCACCAACTAAGCTACTTCTCAATTTATTGGCACCCCTATTTGAATTATAATGGGAGCTGCCGAGTTGGTAAGTTATAATAGGTTACTTTCTTCACTGTTCAGAGGAAGACAGGGAAGCACATAGTATCTGGGGTCATAGAAGCATGCCAAAGTCTGAGAGTGGCAGACAACATTTAATGGTGGGTATCGATACTCTGAAGTGTTCTTTGGCAGTGCACTTTTGGATCGCTCTGCCCAAATCGAAGGAGCTTTATTGAGTGTTAAGGAACAATGGCATGCCCAATCTGATTGGACCAGCGTTCTGGCCCCAAAGTTAAGCCTGTGGTGTGCCTGGAAGATGGTAAAAGAAGGCGAAAATGTGTCTCCTTTTTTCGTATCTGAAACTGCTGTCGCAATGCAATTTGAACCGTTCATGTCTGAAGTCTGAGCATTTCTGTTTTATCTTTTAGGTTCGAAGTCAACAATGAATGAACTATGAATCATGGTTTTAGAAAACGATCCTGAAAATTCTGGCCACCGTTTTTTGATTGACGGTTCTGATAGATTCCTATTTGGAGTGGGATTCTAAGTATAGTAGGACTGGATTGAAATTAATTTGATGGAAAATTAATCTCAATCAGTAATAAGAATTGTTAGAATCCTAGTCACCTTCGGATGGGAGTTATAAAAAACCACATAGTGGTTTTGGATCCATCACTATTGGCCCTAAGATTCAGAGAGACCAATGAACTCAAAGAGCTGACAAAGAAAGAAGTACAATACAAGCATTCAACAATAATGGTCGGATCTCAGAGTGGAATGCTGATTTGTTTCAAGTTCATCAATTGAATGAGTCTTAAAGCTTGCAGGTTTGACCGTCCAGTTCGAATGGACAGTTCGTTCTGACAACAAAAATTAAAAAAAAATAAAATAAAAATGACCAAAAACCGTTGAACGAGTTGATGGTTCGACTGCCCGAATCAATGGATCATTGACTGATTCAATAATTTTTGGCCCAGGACCAGGTTTGGAGTAAAACGGAACCAATTGCCTGGACGATTCCTAAGCCAAATAATCTGACCATCCGAATCAACGATGGTTCAAAAACCATACTATTAACAGTATTTTTGATAGATGATGAACTGTCAACAGTTTGATCCCAGTACATAGATGTTGCAAACATTTTACCCGAACCTTTAAAATATTAAAAACTAAGTTACTGTTTTTCCTTTTTTTTTTCGTTCTTAAAATTTGCATCTGATTCATATTTGCACCCATTTATTTATAACAATGATTTGGTCTGATGTAAAATTTGCACTTTTGAGTTTTTGTCTTATTTACACTGCCGGCAATGGAAAGCACCATCGTTTCCTTTTAATTTTTCTATCATATAAAGTGAGGAACACGTCACTTCATTACCTTCGATTCCTACCTAAACAAACAACCTTATTTCATGTTTTCATTGTTTTTTTCTTATTGCTTTGATAATTTCATTACATCATCTTACTTCATTTTTACTTTTGATAATTTCAGGGACCTCACCTAAAAACTTTTAGGTTGAATGGTACCGTGAGATAGTATGAAATCCAATTGCTTTTAAAATAATTAATTAAATTTCAATACAATGTATAAATAGATTTATGCTTATCCACACTTAAAATTATTCACGGATCTCAACTAACAATTTAAGCTTTTAGGTTGAATGATTCAGACTTTTCACGTGGCCACAACCTCTTTGACTCTTTGTGTTTTGATATATTTGTTAGTTTTGCAAATTAGGAAAAGGAGCCAAAATAAGTATTTTGGTGGGTTTCTCCCAATGTGAAGATATGCCATTGTGAAGATGGGTTTCTCCCAAGTGAAAAAATTAAAAACCCCAGTTTGTGAAGATAAGATTTTAACTTTTTTTTTTTTGTGAACATGAATTTTTGGCTAATGCCTAAGTCTAGATATGTAATTAGCTGGGTTCTGGTCCAATTTTACACTGCTTCGAGCCCGGGATTCGGTCTGGGTCCATTCAAATTTTGGCAAAAGCCAAGCCTAAGCCTGGCCTGTGAACAGGCTTAGCTGTAATGTAGGTTGTGCTGGGCCGATACGATCCACTTTTGCTGGCTGCCTGCCACTGCGGCAAGTCATGCCAGAACATGGACCTTGGTGGGCTGTTCCTGCCTAGCCCAGAATCCCTCAAAAAGGGCAGCCCACAGCCCAAGCCCAAGCGGGCTTGTGCCAGGCAGGTTGTGGGTGGAATTATTTTTTAGAAAATTTGAAAAAATTCAAATAAATTAACAAGATAGACAAGAAATTGAAACCCAAACTTAGCATGGTGTAGGGGTTTGGGCCAGATAGGCCCGACCCACTGACGGAACCGTGCTTGTCAATTAAAAAATTTTAGAATTATTTAAATATAATAATGAAATTATATACTAACTTTAAAATATTTATTCAAAACACAAAAAGTAATTATAATAGATTTAATAATATTTATATTATTAATAATTCTATATTTTTACAAAATTCATCATGAAATTATGTAGTAACAATATAAATTATAAATTTGTGAATTATTCAATTTAAATGTTATTCAAATAATAAAAATTTAACATTAAAAAATAAAATATTATTTAAATATTTCAATAACTAAATATCTTAAATAACAAAACATTAAAATAGCTAAATGATTATATAACAAAATATTTAATATTTTGTGATAACTTTAAAATAAATAAAATTCAAATAATGAAAAATTTTAAAAATTTTATATATTATTTAGATATTTAAGTTATGAACTATTTAACATGACTAAATTTTAAATAGTTAAAATAATGAAATCATGTAATAAATTTAAAATTTTCTTAAAAGTAGAAAATTAATTATAGTAGATTTCATAATATTCATAATAATAATAATTTAATATTTTGCAAAATTAATAACGAATTATGTACTAATAGTACTAATTATAATTTTATAGATTATTAAATTCAATAAATAATTAATATTTTAAAATTTTAAATAACAATATTATTTAAGTAACTAAATAATATTGTAAATAACTAATTTCACTTATACAAATTAATAATTATAGAAAATAAGTTTCAAAAAAAATAATATTTATTAGTAATAATTTTACGATAATAATTTATATTCATTATATACTTATATGTACTAAAATTAATATTTATTGTGTTTTTAGTAATTATTTATTGTATTTTTTAATAAATATTGATGGTGCACGATCTGGAGCTCCTTGCTAGAGGACAGCTCAGATGTTGGGCTGACTAGGTCAGATGGCTAAGCTACAAGAAAACTATCAGAGTAGTCGGGCTGCTTTACTCGAGGTGGGCATTCCAATAATTCTTAAGTTAGGAATGAGTGTATTGAGAACCAGAAAGTGAGAAAGTAAGAGAGCTAAATCGCACGTACCTTCTCAATTTGAAGGGGGCGCCTTTATATAGGCGCAAGTAGTCATAAACTTCACATAGCACGTCTGAGATCTTCAAGAGGACGTGGCTTATTTGCCTGCCACGCTCGGAGGTGGTTTCTCACTCGGAGACAGTCTCAGTGTAAAGTGATAGTGCTTATCCGTTTACCTCCGAAGTGGGTGGCGCGGGAGCCAATGGTGAGGTGGTCTGATCCTAGAGGATTTGGAGATGATAAGGCGCACATAGGAGAGGTCGGTTGCCAATTGGACCTTAGCTAGGCCGATGGGACCTTGGCGGGAGGTCACCCCTTATGCCGAGGTGCCTACAGATCTGCCCTGCTGAGGTGGCATCGACTCTCATGGTGTGCATGGTGTGCGCGAGGTGCATTTGAGGTGGACTCTATCATCTTGGCAAAGGTAGGTCATTGCCTACGTGGTGCCAAGATGTTAAGCAATGGTTTGGAAGTGCCATGTGATGTGATGTCACTAGAGGGCTAAATTCCACTTCATCAAATATAATTTCAATAATTATTTATAAATATTTTTGTTTTGTTATTTAACAAAAAATTGTCAATAATTATTGGAGATTAAACAACTATTATTTAACTTTTGAAATTTAATTTATTGTTTTTTGGTATAAATTATTTTTAGTAATTATGTATTTTTATAATTTATTGATTAATGTTTATTAAAGATTAAACTATTATTTGATATTACACTATTTATTGACTAATTTAATATATTTTTAGTATTTATTGTATTTTTTAATTAGTATATTTTCATTATAAATTCATTTTCAATTATTGTGTATTTTTTCTATAAATTTTCCATTATTATTGGAGATTAAACTATTAATTTGGCTAAACTTAGAAGTGTTCAAGGATTGGTTCGGTTTGGTTTCAGGTTGTTTTGCCTACCATATCGACTTGGTCAGGTTGGGAGTTTGTCATCCAAAACTGAATGACCATTAGTGAAAACTCATCAACTTGGGTTGAATCGATTTGGGCCTATTTTTTGTTTGGCTTGTTTGTTCAAAAGATTTAAGCTTAAAAATTGAATTTAAATTTAATAAATTATAGTGATATTATTAAAAAATAATTAGATTTATGATATAAAATATTTTAGACTAAGAAATATGAAAATTTTCCCACTTTCCCGTATTAAAAAATCATATTTAAAAAAATAAAATATTAATATATCTATGATTGGGTCGGTTCAGTTTTGATTGATTTACAAATAACCAAACCGAAACTGACATAATTTGATTGGATTGGAAAGTTACTGAACCAAACCAATCGAAAATACTAGAAAATCAACCAACTCGGATGGAATTCTATCGAATTGATTATTAAAAAATTAAATTATAAAATAATTATATAATTTTATATATTTCTATTGTTTAACTTTGGCTTAACAAAGTTCGTGCATTGCATGGATCCCCGCTAATACTACATAAAACAGCGCCAATTAAGATATACCACATCAGCTCCATACACATGGACTCAAGAAGTCAGAATGATATGATACGATGTGGTGTATCTGATGATCAGGGTGATAGGGGTGTGCCCTCAATCACTCCTCTTGAATATTTTAACAGAGACTACGACTGTTCTGATTAGGATATATAATACAATATCAAACATGATCGTGGGTGAGTGGGGTTCATTGAATAAGATAATTATGACGTTGACACTTCATGCTAGCCTTGGCCATCCCAAAATTTTGTTAGATTTTCAGGGATAGATAATATGCCAAACAGCCCTTAATATATCTCTTTAGGTTTCTCTTGCGTATGCATGTACCACTCAACGAATTAGTGACTCAGCTGGTTCCACGTGGTTATAGCAATTGAGAAAAAAAAGCGCTTGAGCGTTGATGTAGGCATTTTGTCCTGAGCTTTATTTATTGTACTTTCTTGCTATCTTCCCAAATCTCCCAATAATCGACTCATGCTTTCCTTTTAAATTAAGAATCTGCATCCTTTAAAACTATGCCACGTGGTAAGTTATGAAAAACTATTTTTTTAAGGGATCATGGGTTCTATTCTACATCCCCAGTTGCCAGTTCTTTGACATGGTCCATATATAAGACCAAAAAGGGAAGTTGTGGATGCAAATTAAAAGATTGCCAGGAAAGGAAGCATTAATTTACCATTTGGTAAAAAAGTTAAAAAACCTAATATCCATTGAATTTAAAGGAAGAGTTGAATGGATGACAGAAACCAGGGGTTCATGAGCAGTTTGGGTCATATATAGAAAGGCTGCTTATCCTTGAATTAAATGAATTATAAATGGTTTTGACAGGTGGCAAGATGCAAATGATAGAGTACTTCAATTAATAAATGAATTCAGCTAACATTAATATGGATCTGAGATAGCAATTGCAATGCAGTTGTATTTACTTATTTAGTGCTGTCCGGCAATGGGCCTTCCCTCTCATTTACTGGTGGGTGGCCTTATATGTAATAAAGGGCGTCTGACAAAACTAGCCCAAATGCCAATGGCCAATTGGCTTGGTGGCCATTAACAGATCTACACCATTACTAAATGTCTCAATATTACATCCGACTGCTCTCTCTCTCTGTGAGCCTGCACCACTCAGCTGGGTCTAGGTGTCCTTATAATAAGTGTTCCCCACTTTGATAATTCAGTTATTGGCTTATTGCTTATCAGGGGACCTACCATTCACATGATCTCTCACCTACTTCATCAATAACAGCTGATGCTCTCTAATGTAGAAGCAGAAGCAGGCGATCCATATTTATATTTCTCTCTCTTACTTTATGGCTTATGGCTTTTTTTTTTTTTTTTACAAAACACTCATAATTAAGCGCTTATTAGAATAAGTAGTTAATCAATAAACACTTATTTTTCAATAGTAAACTCTAAAGTAGTGGGAATCTCTTTGCTGCTTTGGGTAGGCTAGCTACCTGGCCTTCAGAAATTAGTAAAATTAAACACCACTGCAATTTCCTTCATCATCACGATTAATTTGTGCTTTCTGATATATGGGTCGGGTGCAAACCCATTCAAAGCACTCCAATAGCAAAAATAGCAAGGATAACACTGAACACAAAGCTCCTCCGCCATTGGGTTTGAAGATGACCCACACGGTATTTTTTTAAGTGTTAATCAAATGAGCAGCCGAGGCCGAGCAGGAGGATTTTGAATGGCGACCAAGAGTAGAGCCTACAGGAAAGAAGAAAGATAGATATAAGAAACTATAGAGAACGTGCCAATCAAACAACTTCTTCCCATTTTCAAAAGACCATATCGACCGACAGAGAAGAAGTAGCCTCAACAGATCGATCTTATCGTACAACAAGGGGAAACGAATCTTCTGTGTAATTATTTTAGTTAAAAAGAAAAAGTTGAGAACAGAGCGAACATTAAAATACAAAGAATAAATGACTTTTCCACAAAATCGAATCGGGTCCGCCTTGAGTGAGAGAGAGAGAGAGAGAGAGAGAGAGGGATGTTTTAATAAGGACCCACCACAATTCAGATGAGGATAGAAAATCTGAGATGAGATAACTAGGTCTTTTAATAAGTCTTTCATAGGAAACTGGAATGAACACGAACTGCACAACAAGTGAAACTTCCTGGGTTGATGCTTCTATTTTTATTGATCTTGACCTATAAATGCACTCATCGCTGAACTGACATTCAACAATTACTCTTTTCTTCTGTACCCTCTGTATCGCTTTCTCTCTTATCCTTCTTCTCCTTCTTGTATGGGAGTTCTGTTCTCTGCTTTGTTCAAAATTCCAGGGATGTTTCACAAGATTATGGATTCTGTTACAGGGAAAGAAACCAGGTTGAATGCTGGGGTGGGTGGGAAGAAAAAGATCAAAGGGACGGTTGTGTTGATGAAGAAGAATGTGCTGGATTTCAATGACCTTCACGCTTCCGTCCTTGATCGGGTTCACGAGTTAGTGGGCAAAGGCGTTGCACTGCAGCTCATCAGTTCTGTGAATACCGATCCAGGTTAGATTTCTCGTTTCTCTTTCCTTGTTCTGGGTAATCTCATTTGCTTCATTAGGATTCTGCCAAGTTTTTTAATTGACTTGAAGCATTAATGTCCAATGGCTCTTTCTTGTTTCTTTTTCTGTAATTCAGTCTGTTGCTGATATAGAATTTTCACTTCATAGTCTGCCATTAATTCTATTCTGGTTATTGGGTTTTCGATTTCTTTTGTTTTTCTTTTCATTTTGGGTTAGCTGTAGGCTTCTAGCTAGCGAGACCCATAAGAATCCACACTGAATTTGGACGCCATTATAGCTCAGATATCCGATGATCATAAGAATATCATCCTCAGAACACAGTAGGTCTGAAGTCTCCCACAAAATACTTTGGTGCTTAAGGGATTTGCTAGAAATAATTTTTGTTTTACTGAAAAAGTAATTTGGGGGGGTGGGGAGGGCCTGAAGTCTCCCACAAAATGAACTCTTATTCTACGTACATTGGGTCATTGACTCAAAGTCGACGAATCAAAAGAGATATACGGTCTCAACCTGACGTGAAATCTACGTGTATGATCTGACGTGGCGTACACTGATTTGTCCTATTACGAGTAGAAGTGTAAAGGTGCCGGGGAACATGTCGTCATGGTAGGTTGTATTGTATTGGAATGATAAGTTTGGAATATTTATGTCCTTGCCTTAATGTTTTCTAGACACAAATGTCTTTTTCTTGTGGGTTTTTTTTTGGGGGGAGGGGGTGGGGATATTTTATTGGGAGTCGTTGTTCAAGCAGAATCATTCAATACACGCGTCATGCGGACTGCTTTTTTTGTCAAATAAATATATAATAATATATTGACCAAATTACCCCCTCCTGGACTCGAGTAGTTAACCTTTTCCACTTTGTCAGGATGTAAGCGAGTCAAGATACTGAGTTAACGAGTTAAATATTTCAATCTGATTTTCAAATAATTGAGTTCCAGCCGAACTCAACGAGTCAAGAGGTTCGAGTTTTGTAATTCTTGTTTTCATCACCATCAGTTAAGCCTAATCGATTAATTTTTAATATATTTCTATTCATAATGTTTTGATGTTCTTTAATATTTTATGGTTCTTACATAGGGTTGTTTAATCGATGGCGGATTGAGTCTAGTTGATGGTTAACCCAAGCCAATCCTAAATGTGCAAATTTTGGATTTGGGCTTGATCCAATTCGAGGTTAAGCCTAAATTTATCCATCGGCTTAATTCAAGCATAACCCAACATAATTCAGATTGGGTTCGGGCTCGGATTGGGTATATATTAATATATAAAACACATAGTCATCTTTTATTGGGCTTTATGGCCCAATTTAAAGGTATAATTAATAAAAAATATGTATAAATTTCATTTACAAATATATGTATACATATTTTACACATACACAAATATACACAATTAGAGAAAAAAAATATTTGTATATACATATAATACGCATGTGCGTGTATTTTTTTTTGATGATCTCAGGTTGGGTTGGGTTCGAACTACTTGAGGCGTCAACCCAAACCCAACCAAAGTTTAATTTGGGCGCAAGTTTTTTGACCCAGGCCCAGTCAGCAGCCTTAAAACTCAAGCACAACCCATATAAAAATTCGGGTTGAATTGGATTAGACTCGCCCAAATTTCACCCTTAGTAATTGAGTCAACTTTCAATTTAACGAGATTTTCAGCGGAGTTGAGTTCAAGTAGTACAATGTATTATTGGATCGGCTCGAGTCAATTACACCCCTAAATGGTTTGTGTGTCCGTGTGCAGCTAATGGGTTACGAGGCAAGCTTGGAAAAGAGGCATACTTGGAAGAATGGATTACAACCATTACGCCGTTGTCGGCCGGGGAGTCATCATTCAACATCACATTCGACTGGGACGAGGGCATCGGAGTTCCGGGAGCTTTTATCATTAGGAACTTCCACCACAGTCAGTTCTTCCTCAAGACAGTCACACTTGAAGACGTTCCAGGGGTTGGCCGAGTCCACTTCATCTGCAACTCATGGGTTTATCCCACTAAGCATTACAAGTATGACCGGGTTTTCTTCTCCAATCAGGTTAGTCTACTAACTCAATACAAATTCTTCTTTCATCAATTTCATTGTGAAACAGACAAACAAACAAGCCAACGATTCAAAAGAGAAAGTAGGTATGCAATGATGGAGATGGACTGGTAGTTTTAGTCCTCCTGCTACCCCTACCCCAGATCCAGTTTTCCTTTCAGCTTCCTTGCTCAATTATTTCGAACTAATCTTCTCGAATGGCACTGGAGCGAGGCGGGCTAGTGTTTGCGTGTCCCATCCTCGACCCCAAACCCCACTGGGGTTTGAAACAGATTCCCACCCCTCAGTCCCCAAAGTTTCGGATTTCCCCAAAACCCACCCTGAACCCCAACCGATGGTAAAAAAATCGCCCCGACCAGTGTGGGGGAGGGTGGGGACGGGTCAAAATTTCAAATTGCCATCTCTTCTTTCTGCTTTGATGTGCAATTTATTCAACCTTGAGATAAGGCAGTAGGATCCACCTTTTAGGTTTTTCTGCATAATGCGGAATGGGTTCTACCTTCTTCCTTTGGGTTGAAGAATTAACAGCAAATTAATCATATGGTATAATACTGATATCTGTCCATGTCCATGAAAGCCTCAGGAGATTTCCAAATTTTATACTGATATCAACTTGATCGTTTTTGCTACAGACCTACCTACCGGCTAATACCCCAGAACCCCTACGCAAATACAGGGAAGAAGAGATTGTGAATCTTAGAGGAGATGGCACAGGAGAGCTCCAGGAATGGGACCGAGTCTATGACTACGCCTACTACAACGACCTGGGTAATCCTGACAAGGGTCCTGACTCCGCACGTCCAGTTCTCGGAGGCTCCACACAGTACCCTTACCCTCGCAGGGGAAGAACCGGCCGGAAACCCACACAGACAGGTTTCACATTAAGTCATCATCTTTTCTCAATTGTTAATGGAGTAGTCCAAAACGAATCAACCAACACTAACCATGCATATATCGACTGATCGACAGATCCCAAAACGGAAAGCAGATTGCCACTTCTGAGCCTGGACATTTACGTCCCAAGAGACGAACGTTTTGGTCACCTGAAGATGTCGGATTTCCTTGCCTATGCTCTGAAATCCCTGGTCCAATTCTTGCTCCCGGAGCTGAAAGCTTTTTGTGACAACACTCCCAATGAGTTCGACACCTTTCAAGATGTATTAGACCTCTACGAGGGAGGAATCCAGCTACCGAAAGGTGTACTAGACAGTGTCAAGGAAGCAATCCCCTTGGAGATGCTCAAGGAACTTGTTCGAACAGATGGTGAGCAACTCCTCAAATTCCCCATGCCTCAAGTGATCCAAGGTACGTGACATGGAATTAACAGGCTAAAATTGATCTATTTGTCTAGTGGGTGGTACTGGCACAGTGGCTCTGTATTATTATGTTCATGAACCCTACCTGATGTTGTTTACATGGCATTACCGCACGCAGAGGATAAGTTTGCTTGGAGGACGGATGAAGAATTCGCCAGAGAAATGCTAGCTGGAGTGAACCCCGTTTCCATTCGCCGTCTTCAAGTAAATTACTGTTTCTAATGTTCTTATTTCTTTAACCCAGAATTAATTTCTTGATTTTCAGTCCTTTTTTTTTTCTTTGTAATCAGCAATTAACCGGATTCTAATATGCAGGAGTTTCCCCCAGCAAGCAATCTTGACCCTAAATTGTATGGCAATCAGAACAGTTCAATAACCAAAGAACATATAGAAAGCAACCTAAATGGGCTAACAGTCGATGAGGTATCATTAGCTTTTTTCTTCTTTTTTATTAAAACTTTTTGGTCGATAAGCCCCAACCTTGAGAAATGAGAAGGCAATCCTTCCCATGCGCGCCGTAGGTGATCATACAATTTCCCCAAAGTGGCGATTGAAAATATTGCTTTTGTTTTGTGTAGGCTCTGGAAAACGGCAAGCTATTCGTACTGGATTATCATGATGCATTGATGCCATACCTGACACGGATAAACTCAACAACCACTAAAACCTATGCCACAAGAACTCTCCTCTTCCTCAAGGATGATGGGACCTTGCAACCGTTGGCAATTGAGCTGAGTTTACCACACCCAGAAGGAGAGCAACACGGTGCAGTCAGTAAGGTCTTCACTCCAGCTGAACACGGCGTCCAGGGTTCAATTTGGCAGCTCGCCAAAGCTTACGCTGCTGTTAATGACTCCGGTTTTCATCAGCTCATCAGCCACTGGTAAAATTCTGCTGGTGAAAACTTTTAAACGCTTTCAATCGGAATAGGTTTCTTAACTCTTGCTACTTTGGTTGCAGGCTGAACACTCATGCAGCCATCGAGCCATTTGTGATTGCAACAAACAGACAGTTGAGTGTGCTTCACCCCATCTACAAGCTCTTGCATCCTCACTTCCGGGACACAATGAACATAAATGCCTTGGCCCGGCAGATTCTCATCAATGCTGGTGGGGTGCTGGAGAAGACCGTCTTTCCAGCAAAATTTGCCATGGAAATGTCTTCTGTGGTTTATAAGAGTTGGGTCTTCCCCGAGCAGGCACTCCCTGTAGATCTCATCAAGAGGTAAATAAATGACAAGCCTTTGTATTAGTAGGACTTTAGATGAAGCCTTCAGTTTTTCATCTCCATTGAATGACAAGTGTTGCCTTTTGCTTCCTTCAGGGGAGTAGCAGTTCCAGACAACAACAGCCCCCATGGCCTTCGCCTTCTGATTGAGGACTACCCTTATGCTGTCGATGGACTTGAAATCTGGTCTGCTATTGAAACATGGGTCCATGACTATTGCTCTTTCTATTACCCCAACGATGACTTGATCCAGGGAGACTCTGAACTCCAATCCTGGTGGTCAGAGCTGCGCAATGTGGGGCATGGTGACAAGAAGGACGAGCCATGGTGGCCCAAGATGCAGACACTTTCAGAATTGACCCAAACATGTACTATCATCATATGGGTAGCCTCAGCCCTCCATGCGGCAGTCAATTTCGGACAGTACCCTTATGCAGGCTACCTCCCAAACCGTCCTACCATAAGCCGCCGCTTCATGCCGGAGCCAGGTACTCCCGAGTATGCTGAGCTTGAGTCCAACCCTGATACATTCTACCTGAGAACAATTACAGCCCAGCTCCAGACTCTCCTTGGTGTTTCCCTCATAGAGATCTTGTCCAGGCATTCTTCTGATGAGGTCTATCTTGGGCAAAGAGACACTCCAGAATGGACAACGGATGCAGCACCACTAGAAGCATTTGAGAGATTCAGAGAGAAACTTGTGGAGATTGAGAACAGAATCAGGGAGATGAACCTTGACAAACGGTTGAAGAACAGAGTAGGGCCCGTCAAAGTACCATACACCTTGCTATTTCCGGACACCTCCAATGTGTATGGTGTTGGAGGGCTCACTGGCAGGGGAATTCCCAATAGCATTTCAATTTAAAATTCATGACCTGGTTATCATAGTTCTGGAGTAGTTAATGACTTAATGTTTTCAGCTACCTAGCTATATATTTCTCAAATAAAAGGCCGCATTGAGGCCTCTCTGTATCCTTCTCTTTTTCTGCATTTTCTAGTTATGTAGTGAAGGCAAATGTATGTACAGATATTAGATATTCAAAATTGTTGACTTGTTTTGCAAACAACCATAGGCTATGATGCTTGACAGTTCCAACCGGCAAATTTGTCACAAGGACTTCTTTCGACCCAAATAAAGAGAGAAATCCTTAAATGAGACTAATGGAGGAAATGAATGAGATGAGTGATCTTCACCGGAGGAAAAGAAAATCACAAATCTGATAACTGATGCATAAGCATATAAATTTAGATAAAAAGAGTGATAATTTGTGTATGGTTTCGACTTTGAAGATCACCCTAACTGGGGTGGCAACCCTGCCTATTACACCTTAGATTTCCACTTCCAGAATTCCCTTTTGAGTTGAATTCATTCGGTTCTATCTCTTCAGAGGTTGCAAAATCAACCAATCTTCTGAAATGCAGGTTTCTCATGGAGCCATGAATGGGGTTCATGTTAACTCCCAATCCATGAAAGTCTCTGAATCATCAAGCTCACAATGGAATTTAAAAAAAAATTAGCCACTGAGACAGATCTAACCGCCAGTGTATGAAATAAATAAAAGGTCATTACCCTATGTTAGTCAGTGATATGGGATCTTGGGTATGGTCTTAACCTTTGGAATTTTTTTTGCACAAAGTCGCCACCCTCAGACTCAAATGCCAGTCTAAGATTTTACCATTATACCAATTAATGGCCCCTCAGCGTATGAAATAAATTTCAAAGGGGAAAGGAAAAAAAAACCCAAGACTGTAGAAATAACTAAACAAGTACACTCAAAATAAAAGATAATCAAATACATGCTTATAGTTCTACTTGAGGCAGAGGCCGGATGCAGCCAAGAACAAGACTCTTTGATTAAAGAACAGCATGGAAAACTTGATATCATGTAAATAATAGCGTCATGGGCATATCCACTATCTTCACCGAAACCCAATCTTGTTCAATTGTGATTCAAGATTCCATGATGGACACTGGCCGTGATGCTTGGCTTTGCTCAATTGCTCCTCTCGTCATAAAGGCCCTACATGACTCTATGGGTCACACCCCGTGAAAACACTAATGCCCAACTCAAAAGACCTCTGCCATTAAAGAGATGCTTCAATCCAAATCCAACAATTGTCCCATGCGAGTTCCTCATGAATCAGAAACGGATAGCGTTGAAAACTCTGTTAAGTTTTTATCCTTCCTTTTGGCTTCAAAATCAGAGAGACATGCTCTTTTGTGTTGGGATTATTGTAATATGAAAAAAATCTAGATCATATGGTTTTTATGTGTTTTTTAATAATCAATTCTTAATGGAAACAAGTGGTCGTCTTTCTAAGATAGAAGATAGTGAAGGAGCAGAACTCTGGTCAATTTACAATGCTTAAAAATCAAGAATGGAGGGCTGCAGTTGTGTATTCAGACTCATTGAATTCAATTTTGACTTGCAATGGCCCGAGACTAGTATGTATTGGGCCAATAGTGCTATCCTGGATATGATTAGGGGAACTTTGTAAAACTGGTGAGGATGTAAAGTTTTGTCATATTTCTACAACTTATAATTATGCTGATTATACTGTGCTCAAAAAGCTAAAACATGGAATCCAGCATAATGAATCAGACAATAAATTGTTTGCTTACCTATAAAGAAAAGGCACCCAAAGCATAATAATGGAAAATTTGATCTAGTGCTAGACAATCAAATATGACTTTTGCTAGATAATCTCTATCGTTAGCCACATGGAGGGATGGATCCTCGTCACAGGCAGAACCCCAAAATTTCTTAATGTTAAAAATTATGCATAAGTGTTTCCCTTTTCCATGTCGAATGGAGATGCTGGACTACAAGCTACCACAAGAATAGAAGATGATGTGATCAACAGGTAAAATCTTCTTGGGCCATCACCCGAACTGCTACACGCTTGTCTACATCTCGTTTGTTAGATGACAAATCTAGCAATCCATTCCCAAGGCAGGAAAGTATCTGGTAATACATGAATTAAACTGATGGATGTCCAAGGCGCAATGGTAGGTTTGCTACATTGCAACCTGGGGGACCATAGTTCAAATCTTGGAAACAGCCTCTTTGTATGTACAGACTACAGAGTAAGGCAGCGTGCATTTGTCCCTCCCCAGACCCTACATTGGGGGAAGCCTCATGCACTGGGCTGCCCTTTTATGTCTATACCTTTTTTTCCCTTACAGTCACTGTTAATAGCTTGCAGCAGTCCATTTTGCCAAGGCAAGAAAGGATCGATTAACTTAGATGGAGTAAAAGCTTCTTAATGCTACATATTTCCATGTCAGATAGAACTGCTAATGCCTTTACCAGTTTCCATCCTATGGCCAAATTACCTAGTTCTGAAGGAGAGACGCCAAACTGAGTTCAATTTCTTCTTTGGCTTTTACGTCAAAAGGGTCTTCACCAATATAAAGATCTAAAATTGACCAGCACAGTAGTTTGCTCTGAATGCACCCAACATCATTTCCATCAACTGCGAGGACAACAATGTATGAAATCAATTGATGTACATACAGCATTATGCCTAGGCAGGAAGAATTAGAAACTAGAACGATCTTGATCAATGCGAGAGTAAATATGAACTCGTGTTTGCTCAGGAGTTGTCTTACAGGAGAGCAAAAAATTATCTGATTTATCCTTCAAAAGTATGGATGTGTTATTTAGACAGCCAGAAAAAGACAGGTTATCTAATCTATTTTCCCAAACCTTTAAGATGTGCTTCGATAGACACTTACAATTTGACTCATTGACTGTACAAATGGAAAGGTTGAGATCTCCTTGGAGGAGGAAATAATAGTTGTAACAATTAGAAATGACCATATTGCTGCCTGTTATGATTGATTTTCCATATTTTCCCTTAAAAAATGAGAGAATATACATGTATTATCTACTTTCTCTGTAAATAAAAATATTCTAGGAGTGTATCATTCAGTTGAAGACAAATTTTGAGGATTGTAGTCTTTTTTGGGTTCCAATTTAGAGGGTTGTAGTTTGATTGCTGATACATGAAGAACTCCCCTGTTTTTTAAGTGTTTCTGATGGCATATCTCTAAGGTTTCCAGTGTCTAACTTTTCTCCCCACCCCCTACCATTAGAGTCATGAACAGCACCAACTTGTTATAAGCTCTAAAAATGAATGTAAAGGGGCATTAGGGGGTCTTTGATAACAGCTTACGTGGCTGAAGTTGAAAAGCTTATTACTTTTGTCTTTTAGTGAATAAGATTTTAAGGAGGTTGGGAGCTCCTTAATAGTTGAAGCTGAAGTTGGGTAGGTTACTATACCTTTGAATATTTTATTATTTAATTATTTTATCCAAAGCAGTAAGTCATTCAATTTAGCAACTTCAGCTGTTATCAATCAGTCCCTTAATTTTTCCTGAACTCAGCTCAAAATTCTCGGTTGGGTTCTTTGGTCCCGGCTAAATTAAGAAGAATAAAAGGAACTAACCATGAATTGGCATGATAGATTTCTAGAGTGAAAAAGAAAGATTTCTTACTTTTTGTGCATAATACATGGCCCTGTTCCTTTGACAGTTCTATCACTGATCCCCGTGGTATTTTATATTCATCCTTAAATAGGGAGGTGAATCTGCAACAAAAACATTCACTTAGATTACAATCATGATGATTGATGCACTATAAGGAAAATTCCAGTAGATAAAATGTTTTCTTTACTAAACAAACAAATATGAACAACTAGTTTCTCTGTTTCCTAAGAACATGTTGATAACTATAATATTGGGTAAAAGTATGACAAAGAGAGGTATGACCTAAAAGAGGATCAGTAACAACTGACGTAAATGATGCATAAATGACTATACAGAAACAATTTCTGAAGCTTAATAGCCCAGTACGTACTACAGTAAGGTGTATAGGAGAACCAAAAGGAGAAGAGCACCGGTAACAGACTTAAACGAAGTGATAGAAGTGCTTGGTAACAACAACAATAAGGGAAATTACTGTAGTGATAGAAGTGATAGAACATGTTCAGAAAAATGCAATAGTTCTGAACACGGCAATGCTCGTACATCCTAAGCACTAAAAAACAGGCCAGTTTCTAATAAAGATATTACTTCCATTTACACATTCCCACCAAACAGTAGGGCTAAGGGAGACAAATAAACAAATAAATACCTCTGAAGTAATTCTTTGTTATCTGGTCCCCCAAATTTTTGAAGTCTACTTCCTACAGACTCCTCAAAAGCACTGCGTACAGAACGAATACTTAGTCTTCCATAAACTATTTGAAGCCTAACAGTCATGCGTATATCCTTTTCAAGAACATCTTCAAGGAACTCTTTGTTTTGCTTCAATTCAGAGACAGAAAATTGCCCATATTTTTCACTCAGAGAGTTTTTCATGTCAGTATAATCAGCATAAACACCTGCAAACAAGATACATTGTTAGAGCTTCTGTTCTTACAAAGATTGAAAAATAAAAGAAGAAAAAGAGTTAACAAGAAATCATACAAGAAAAGTATTTAAAGAGATGATAGGGGAAAGGAGGGTATGCCACTGTGACTTGTGTCACACAACGCACATGGATGCTAATGCTAGCCCCAAACAACACATAAGAAACACATTGTTAAAATAAATTAAGAACACAGGTCTACTCATGTTTTGTGTTTTGGGCTTGCATATCATGATATCATCCACATGTATTTAATGTATGTGGCATAACTAATGCATATTGTCTCTTGGTGAAATTAACGAGTGCATTCAAGCTGTATCATGCAAGTACAATCTCTTCTGGACTTGTAATATGTGCCATGTACCCTCGACAAAGTTTTTATCCCAATGACACTAGGTATCCACTTTGTATGTAATTCTTGGAGCATAGTGAGTTAGAATGGATCTTACACAAGACTTCAGTATTAAGTCAAACTTCTAGAAAGAAGAGTAAGATTGAAGCAAAGCTTACAGGACACTAAGAGAAGAGTCAAAGATGATAAACCTTCAATGGTAATTGACAGGGTTTCAAAAACTAAAAATAAAAAGATAAAAAAAAAGAAGGAACTCTGACATGAGTGGCATCCGAGTCAATAATCTAATAACTAGAAGAGAGGATATGACATATATGAAGATCCCAAGCAGATAACATAAAAGGATTGATCATAAGATAAATCACTTCACTTCTAGAATAATGATCACTCAGCCAGTGCAGTACTTTGGATCCAAAAGGTGGGCAGGGATGCATGGTACCCATTACCATCTAAATCTAAATGAAAACACAGAAAGTGAAAGCAACATGAATGTAGCTTTCAGATGGATTCCAAGTGTGATAAATATAATAGCACATGACTTAACTAGATTGAGATTTGAAAGGAACTTTTTTTATGGCAACGGTTCTCTACCTGATTAGATTTTGCAAGGACAGGATTGTCGGTCCATATCTGTGTATTAGTATACATCCTCTCATTTATTCAATAGGCCAATAAACAAAGTGAACATCCTATCATCCTCATGTACTCTCCTTTCGCCTATAATAAATATCAATACATTTACCATTCCCTCAAAAAAAGAGGGTTATCATCTGAAATAGAGCAAATGTGTTTAGAACAGGAAAAATGTTGTATAGGATTAGAGAACGTCATAAACAGTGATCAGAGACGAGGCAACCTATAGTAGTTAAAACATTAAGAATAATAGTTATCTGGTACTTAGTGAAGCTCAATACTGCCGTTCACAACCTGCCACCTCCCCGTGGAGTAAAAGGAGAAACCTAGAGAGTAAAATCTTGTAACTTTGCCACTTAATTTGATAAATTGGAATCTGTTTACTGGTTTAAACATCAAGGTAATGAACAAGTGACCTATTAATGGCAATGACAAACTTCTCATCATCAATTTTCAGTTGCAGATAGTCGTAGACAAACATGAGAATTATAAAGAATACAATCGTTGTTAATAATGCACACAAACCCTTTTTTTTCTTTTGAGTTTACTCAAAATCTTTGTTACCCCCTTGTCATATAGCAAAAGAAACCTTCTAATACAGCAAAATTTAGCCAAAAATGAATTAACATGCAACATTAGCTGCAGGGAATTGACAAACCCACCAAATCTCATAAAATAGAAAGCAAATTATACGAGCGGTTAATGCGGTTATGTGCATTGCTTAAACTAATGCCGCAGAAAAAAAAAATACCGAAAGCGTAGACATCGATGTTCTTTAATCCAAGTATACTTTTCTTCCGCAACCCAATCCCAAGCAGTTGTTGTGTGTCGCTCAAAACGGAGGGAAATGAAGCACCAGTTTTCGATTCAACAGCTTCGGTGGTATTATCTGCCAAGGAAAGAGAACCCCACATGGGAGAAGAGCAATTGGGTCGGTAATTGGAGAAGAAGAAATCCAGTGCATTCTGGAGAAATGGGTCTTTCTGGTTTTTAATTTTATGAGAAATGGCGAGACCCATTCCGATCCCAACACCGACTGCAGCTGCAACAGACCCCGCCATGGCTGCTCCAGAGAAGGAACGAGAAGAGACATGGGAGCTGTGAGGAGGCATTGAGGGCTGAGGAAACGAGAAGGGGAAGCGTAAAGACACCATGGATGGATGCAAAAATGAAATCTTGAATGCAATATAGTGATGATCTACGAAGCTTATAGAGAGTTATAGTTAGGGACACTTTTCTGGACGGCCCGTCCTGTGAAGAGCATTGCCTTTTGGGGCCTAAGATATTTACACGCGGCTATTGTGATAGCAATAATAGTCGCCAGGTGTTAAATACCTTTCCCTTTCCATGGTCGTATGCTGACCGATGGTGCGCAATTAGATACTCCTAGCTAGAAGACGATCTGAACTCCAATTGTGCGGTGAGCTGGACCAATCTGTAAAATAGTGGATCAAAGAACCAGGGGTAGCTAACTTGGCGAGGTCACTCTGATGCTTAAGTCCATATTATACTGTGAATGTGAGCTAAATACTTGAGTACTTGAATGCTAGTGAGTAAAATAATCACGCGTACCCTGTGTCATTGCGGTTGGTGCCTTTATATAGGCATTGTTTGGTGTAGGCTTCGCGCACCGCATCCAAGATTTTCGGGAGGTTGTGCCTTACCGGTCCAAAATCCTCGAAGGTAACCGCTATGCACGTTGCCATCCTCTGGAACATTCGGTACACGGGGCAACTTTAGAGAAACCCGGGAATGTCAGGGTATGCATGCCGAATTTGTTGGCGAGCACATCTTGCAGGTCACCGCCTGGTCCTCAGTTAGGTTGGCAAGCCCTCGAGAGAGGTCGTGCCTCACGTCGATGTCACTTCGGACGGTGACAAGGTGCTACAGGTCGGTCCTGGATGAGGTGCTGCAAGCCGACCTAAGTTGTGGTTGAGGTCACCAAGTCAGCGATAAAGGCAGGTCACCAGGTCGAGGCGAAGACGAACTACTATATGGGACTCCATATCATCACTTAGGTGGCATCTGGGTGTCATCCAGCTGTTTCGGGATGTCATGTGTCATGAGGTTATTGGAGGGCCAAATCCACTCCCGAGCTGAGGGCAACTCGGTGAAGGGAGTAGATTGTTCCTTTGGCCTAGAATGACTGTTTGATGAGCTCGTAGTCGTTGGCTTTAATCCAATTTGCTCCTTAGGTCGGAAGAGTCCAAGTGTTTGCAGCCTTACGCAGGACCTCGCAGTCTTGATTATCGAGGCACAAGAGCAATTTCATCCGCTCGAAGAGAGGTGGAACAGGAACCCCGAGGACATCTACCTTATTAGGGATGCAACCATCAAGGGGTTCTGCAATCTGACTAAGTACCTCAAGAGCAAAGCTCATCATGCCATCCTCAAGAAGGGGTTCTGTGTAACTGTTTTATTAGGTTGCTCCACCTAGGTAGATTTCGACGCAGTGTCCCTCAAGCTGGTTCTCAAAAGAGTATCTAGCAAATTCGATGCGGAGCCTGAAACCGAGGTGGAGGTCTACTGTGAAGAGATCGGCCAAGTTTGCGTTTATCATGGTCTAGTCTTTCCTTTATTTCTCTTTCTTGTGCTAAATTAGTCTTCCTTCCTTCGCTTCTTTTTTTGTCTTTCTTCTTCTACACACCGATGAGGCTGAGGTAGAACGATATGTACCCGACTTGTCTACACATCGATGGGGTTGAATGTGAACTGCTTTTTTATTCCGCCCGTGCTGAAGAGGCGACTAGGTCTTATGTTGCCCATGCCAAAGAGGCGATTGGGTCTTAAGTTGCCCATGCTGAAGAGGCGACTGGGTCTTATTCACGTTTAGCGCCAAGGTCACTATTTGTTCAGCGCAATGGCCCTTGGGCTCTGGGAGCGACTCATAGTCCACTCCCCATAATATTATTTAGTCGATGTGCGACCTGACCTCTTCGCCTATGCGGGATTATCTTCTTGGGTGAGTGCTTGCGAGACCACAATGTACATGTTCTGCCCCCCCCCCTTGTGAGGGCTGTTGATACACAAAGTTGTCGACGTGAATCGGCAATTCGGGGCCACGACTGCACTGCATCAGCCTCATACTGACGCCGGTCATCCACTCCTATGAGAAGCCACTGGGAGCTCGACCTGCGGGGGCAGCACTACTGACTTTAGGTCGCCAGCTCGCACGGGAGCCTTGGAAGTATTGACCTGTAAGGGCGTCCATGCAGTCCGTTGGCCGCCAGCTCCTGTGGGAGTCACGAAGAGCTTGACTTGTAGAGGCGACCTCGCGAAACGGGGCTAATGAGGCCTCGTCCTGGCTTATTGCTATTGAGGATGAGTTGAGGTTGTTTTGCTGCTATCTACATCGAGCTTCTCCCATGCTCAGATATGGAAATTCATGTTTCATCTCATAGAATTTCCACGCTTCAATCCCGACAGGAACTGCTGATAGCTCTATCGTGGGGAGAGGGGCGTTCACATGCGATAGCGGTATATTTATCTGGGGCACTAGGAATGCTGGGTTCGGCCTGAATTTGTCTGATTGTCACAGGGGAGTTCTCAAGGTTCATCACAGATGTTCTTTCCCCCTAGTAATTGATATTCGTTCTGGATGTTGGTGCTGCTAAAAAATGCTTTTTAGTTCATAAAAATGAAAATTAGAGAGTGAAAACTTAAATTTTTAAAAGGTGAGATCTTAGCTTTCTAGAAGATGAGGACTTAGTTTTTTAGAAGGCGAGAACTTAGCTTCTTGTAGCGTTTCCCACAGACGACGTCAATTGATGGTGCGCGATCTAGATACTCCTAGCTAGAAGACGATCCGAACTCTAATTGTGCGGCGAGCTGGACCAATCTGCAAAATAATGGATCAAAGAACCTGGGGTAGCTAACCCAGTGAGGTCGCTCCGATGCTTAAGTCAGTATTATACTGTGAATGCGAGCTGAATACTTGAGTGCTTGAATGCTAGTGAGTAAAATAATCATGCGTACCCTGTGTCATTGCGGTTGGTGCCTTTATATAGGCATTGTTTGGTGTAGGCTTCGCGCATCGCATCTGAGATTTCCGGGAGGTCGTGCCTTACCGGTCCGAAATCCTCAGAGGTAATGCATGTTGACCATCGTCCGAAACATTCAGTACGCGGGCCAACTTCAGAGAAACCTGGGAGTGTCGGGGTATGCATGCCAAATTTGTCGGCGAGCACATCTCGCAGGTCACCGCCTGGTCCTCAGTTAGGTTGGCAAGCCCTCGAGAGAGGTCGTGCCTCACGTCGAGGTCACTTCGGCCGGTGACGAAGTGCTACAGGTCGGCCTAAACAAGGTGCTGCAAGTCAACCTAAGTTGTGGTCGGGTCGCCAAGTCAACGATAAAGGCAGGTCGCTAGGTCGGGGCAAAGACGAACTACGATCTAGGACTCCAAATCATCGCTTAGGTGGCATCTGGGCGTCGTCTAGCTATTTTGGGATGCCATGTGTCATGAGGTTATTGGAGGGCCAAATCCGCCCTCATCACTGACGATCAAAACCATATTTAATGCAACGCTCTAGAAAGTTGTGGAGACAACATACCGGAAATGGGATAATTGCCAGTCAAACCCAGCTACAAGAATTAATTAGGGTAAGGGAAGGGATGTGGTCTGGTGCGTTTGAATTGGGAGGGATTTTCATTTCATTTAGGTGGCGTTTGATAACACTTCTCATATATGAAAATGTTACTTTTGGGATGCAACATATGTTTGGGTTTGAGTCCGAAAAAAGATCTTAAATGCATTTTCAGATCTAAGGGCCCATTTGGTTTGGAATCAGAATCGGAATCGGGATGGCCTATTTCGCTTGGTTGTTTGGTTCAGACCGGAATTAGAATCGAATTCTGATTTATGCTGTTTGGTTCATTATCAGCCATGATTTTCAATTTTGCCCCTAATAAAAATAAAAAAGCAGAAAATGCATAAAAATACTAAAAAATGTATAAATTTTATAAAAAATGCAAAAAGTAAATAATTTTGTAGAAAAATATTTTTTATATTGTCCTGTTTCATTTTTATGCAACACAGTTGCATGAAGAATTATATATCAGATGTAACACTAGATTACAATCAGCGCCTTTATCTAACAACACAGTTGACAGAAAACAGAAATTACAATAAAAACATGGGGGAATGTCGTGTTTCATTGCGGGTGTGTATTACATTTTGGTAGCCTGAAACGCGACATGGGAATGGCACCCCCAGAATGGGAATGGCATTCCTTGGGGTGGGGTATATGGGGGATTCCCATCCCGCCATTCCATTTAACTAAACATCCAGAATGGGAATGAACCATTCCGATTCTAATTCCAGACTTCTATTCCCTCGAATCAAACGGACTCTAAAATCATAAAACCCAGGTCAGACACTGAATGCGGTCAGATGTGTTTCAGATCTAGTCTAAAGTCTAAAATGCCTATAAATAATTTCAAAAAGGCAATGTATGCCCTTGTTTTAAACCCAAAATTACCTCATTTGAGTTCTTCCTCTTGAACGACAAAGGAACTTGCTACACTGCCCAACCGCTGCACCAGGTATATCCAGGGTCTCAAAGCCTCCCTTTTATCTTGTTTTTCTTGTTCATTGCCACAAATCTGAGCTTCCACTCTTCCTAAATTGATTTTATACGGTTTCGATTTGCTTCTTCCTTATATTTTCTTCCATTTTCGCTTTTATTTCTCTATTTTTTTTGTTTATATTCACCATTGTTGTTTGTCTTCATGTTCATTTGGTTACGGTTATTTAGAACCCCTGTCCTGAAAACCCAACATATATTCAAGTGATCTACGAAAGCAATGATTTTCACAAACATTGGTTTCATTTGTTACAAGGTTATGACTTGGCTGCAATAATATTGTTGAGAAATGAGGTCACTGAAACTTGGAGGAAAAGCTTTGAGATGTGCCTGAAGACACTGTCTTTAGAACGTTATTTGCCATCACTCAGTTCTACTAAGTTTGCTATTAGGTTATAGAAAAATTCGTTTCTAGGATACAATAGAGCCTTGGGCGAGAATCTGCAACCAACAAAGTTGAAGAGTTTCCAAAGAAACCTTCTATGAGATAGTAGTTGACCAGATTGAGAAAGAGACAAAGTGATTTTCAAAAATTGTGTGTAAATGCTTGATTCACACTCCTTAAATAATTTCTGAAGAGTCATGGAGCAGAGGAAGGTGCTGGTTCAGAAAAGGCTCTTTGAAATTGTGGCTATTATAAAAGGTAATGACTGTTAACTTTGAATGGTGCTTCTTGATCACACATAATCAAATCATGGTCATTGATCACATCAACAGTGCGAGCAAAGTGTGCCTCATTGCGCCGCGCACACGCGTTGCACAGTAGCAAGCCTCCATACTCTCCTTTTTATATCTAAGGAGTGTAAATCGACTCCTATTAAAAAACCCAAAACAATTCTTGTATTTTTCCAATGTGGGACAAATTAAAAACTGATTTTAGTAAGAGAAAAAGCTATTTTTCAAAACATGTGTGCAAGTATATTTTTTCATGTAATTGACCAATCAAACCCCATTGGATTTAATCTTTAATGAGATTAAAATCCAACAAATATAAAAAAAAATTGTAATATCTGGAATCCATGTCATAAAATTAATATATCTGAGAAGAAAGAGAGTTGTGGATGGAACGCAAATTGATAGATGGGTTGCAGTCGAACCAGCTAATAACCATGTTAAAATTCCCCAACAAAGGGCAAAGGGGAAGTGTATCTTTGCACCTACCCTTTTACTCTCTTTTTATTCCTCCCACACTCCTACTTTTTCATCCTAGAAGAAGCTCAAGTTCTTTCAATTGAATATATGTTTTGCAAATTTTATAGTAAAAACTTTGTTTCTAGCCCATTTACATGGAAACAAATGCAGCTGTAGCAGATCAAACAAATAAATGTGGAGCAATGTACTGATCTCCACAACTGGAAAATTCACCTTGAGATGAGTTTTGTTTATTTTTTTTACACCTTTGTAACAGCTTTCCCATAATTGATGTTGTAGGGTACCTTTTCTCCTTGGCCAGTAGAATCAGTTTTTGTGTGGATAATATTGTGTAGCAGTTGTTTTGTCAATTAGAATCATTACAGGAAAATGGGGCTATAGCTACGGTCAGAAAAATCGTAGCTAAAACATGGGATATAACCACAAACAATTTGATGTCCGTGGCAAAAAGTTGAGATTTAGCTACAGGTAATTTGTCCATGGTTAAAAGTTTTTCTGTCCGTGGCTAAAAGATATTTATAGCCACGGTTATAATGTATCCCTGGTTAAGTTACAAAAACAAAAGTTGAACTTTAACTACAGATAATTTGTCCCTAGTTAAAAGTTGAGCTTTAGCTATAGACAAATTGTCTATGGTTAAAAGTTATTCCGTCCGTGGCTAAAAGCTATTTATAACCACGGTTATAATGTATCCGTGGCTATAAGTTGCAAAAGCAGAAGTTGAGATTTAGCTACGGACACTAAATCCGTGGTTAAAAGTTATATTGTCCTTGGCTAAAAAATATTTATAGCCACGGTCATAATATTTCCGTGGCTATAAGTTATAAAAGAAGAAATTGAACTTTAGCTACGGACAATTTGTCCGTGGTTAAAAGTTATTCTGTCCGTGGCTAAAGAGCTATTTATCACTACACGCACGGATAACTAAAATGCCGTGGCTATAATTACGAAGTTAATCATCTTTAGCTACAATCATTTTATTCCTAGATCATAAATAATAATCATATAATATTCATTTAAAATATTTATTATTTATTAATTACTTTTTTAAAGTAAATTAATAATTAAGAATTTATTAAAGTAAATGAATATAAATAATTAATAATTAACAAATTACTATTGCATAACAATAATAATTAATGATTTCTATTTAATAATAATTAAACTATAAAATATATTATTAATAATTTCATAAGTACATTAATAAGAAAATAATTTCTAAAATAGAAATAATAAGTATTAATTATTATTTGATTAATTAAAACTAATCATAAAAATTTAATTTAATTATTTAAGTAAATTAATAATTAATAGAAAATAATAAACTAAATATGAAAACCACTAATAGTAAATTAATTAATTACCTATGAATGAAAATAATATTGACAATTAAACTAAATTATTTAAATTCATAAATAAAGTAATAGCTATACAATATA